TCGTCCAGGCATTCGACTGTATGAGATGCTTCGATCGCAGCGCAGAGCGTCCCGTGTGGCGGGACTCTGCGGCCGCTGTCTCGACGATGACGATGCGCTCGGGCTTGGCAGATCCGACGGTCGATCCGCAATGGAGCTCGCAGGTGGTGGAATAACGGGAGGACAACGAGAGGGGTCGGCTGCAGAAGGGTCTTGACGAACCTGGCTAAAGTAGCTCATGATTCCTGGCAGACGTTTGTCGTGGAGATCAGGTTGCGGCGTGGCCACACCGGACCGCGGTGTGTCAATGCCGATGTGATCCGATCCATCTTCGTCGGCGGCGGTCCTGGTGAGTGATGGGTCAACGGCTTGCATTGTCGTTGTTTTAGACATCGTGAACCAGTGCGGACTCATTGGGAATGCAAGACGAGTCGCAAGGAAGGGGCCACAAGGTAAAAATAAAGGCGAGGTTGGAGAGGTTAGGAGGACTGAAGCAAAAGCCTGTCCCAGATCGATCAAACAGAGTCTTAAGAGGATGGACGTCTTTGCAGGGATTTGATGGGACAGCCACTAGTCACAGTTGCCAAGAACTGCTGCTGCGAGGAGGAGAGGAGAGGGGCGCAAACTGCGAGGTCGCGGTTCAAGGTGCGCATCAGACCGCGAGCACCCAAAGTACCTCAGGTTAAGTTACTTGTGTACTTCTAAGGTTGAGTAGGTAGGTACTTTAAGTAGGTACCCAAGGTACCTGGTAGCATGAAGGAGCGAGAAGGGGGGAAAGAGGAAGAGGGGGTTGGGCTGCGTGCGATTTCGAGCGGTCTGCCCATAGAGCCTGCAACTGCGGAGGCTGTTGTAGAAAGGAAAGAAACGAGGGGGGGGGGATAAAGGGGGAAGAGAAGGAATAGAGGGAGAAAGAAAACACCCAAAAAAAATCAAAAATCAAATCAAATTAAAACAGTGCTGGAATCAAGTCAACCTGAAGTCCAAGCAACGAAAAAGCAAAGGGTCCCCCGGGACTGGGACTTGAGTTCCGACTGCTGCGGATGTACATCTGTTGTATGTACGTTTGGCGTCCGGGGTGAATGGAAGCGAAATTTTCCATTTTTCCATTTTCCTTTCCTTTCCTTTCCTTTTTTTTTTTTTTTCCCTCTTGCGCCGGCGCAACCATGTGCAAGAGTGGGGACGGCAAGGTTGCTTAAACTGCCTTGTGGCTCGGCCGCAGCGTGTGGCGTCGACTGCGACGAGCCTCGTCGAGTCCCGATCCTGAGGTCTAGTCATGGGTTGCCCCCGAGGCCCAAGAGCGGCACCGAGAGTGGCACTATTTAGGTAAGCCGTAGGGTGCTTGGCCAGGCGTGGACGGAGCACGACCTGCCGCCTGTGTGAGCCAATGCTGCGGCATGCGCGCACTGGCGTCATCTGCACGCCTGGAGCCGGATACCTGGAGGAGCCCAGTGCGCTTATCCATGCACCAGCGGCGCAGTGGACCATTCAGACGCCAGGCGCAGTCACGGCGGACCCAAGAGGACCTCCAGATGTCGAGTCCGCATGCCACCAGGTTACACGACGAGTCAGCCAGTAGCGGCGGGGGCGCTGCGTCCCAACACCTCAGCCGAACAGCCAAACCCTATCGGCCAGGCCAGCCCCTATTGCCATATTGGCGGCGGCGGGTAGCGCACGGAGCAGCCACCGATTGCCGTCTGCCATGACGCCCACACTTTGGGCGGCGAGGGGGGGAAAAAATGAAGGAGACGGAGAGGATAAGGGCGAAAGAAGAGGGAAAAAGAAAAAAAGAACGAAGAAAGAACGAAAAAAAAGAGAAAAAAAAAAGAAAGCAGGAAACACACGGCAATGACTCTGCGGCAGCGCCACTGGCCACGTACAAACCATAGCAAACACGTCTCCTGCTGGGCCGCCACTGGCCAGCCAGCGTCTTAGAAAAAGACCTCGGACTTCCCGCAACCTTGTGTGCGGCATCGAACGTCTGTGAGGTCGAAATCCTCAGCCTTCTGACGGGCCGAAAAGAGACGGGGCGGCCGTCATAGGCGACTCGTCGCTGCCAACCATCGTGGCTGTGGTTGATGAATGCTCCTGCTCATGTCATGGTCTCGGGAGCGCATCTTTCTTTTTGTGGGCATAATTTGCAATCATTGACCCAAGACAGCCAAGAAAGGCCAAGAAGCCTTGCCTAGCTGACTTCAACTGACATGGCATGATGGACTGTGACCACTGCACGTGAATGTGGCGACGGGTCTGGCCTAGGTCGACAAGTCGCCGCCATTGCGAAGAAAGCATCTTGCCGAGACAGCAATTCGTCTCAGATGTTCAAAACACTCCACGTCTTTGGATCGACGTCATTTCGAGTGGCACATCCCCGGCAGAGCAAGTGATTTGGACCGTCGCGAGTAGAATGTCCGCTCGGCATTGCGCAGCGCCATGCGTGGAACAGACAGAGCCTTTGGGTGAGATGAAAGGCCTGTCCAGCCACCACTTGGGGTAACTTCAGCCAATTCCAGAAGTCGAGAGATGGCATCGTGTATGTATGGGGAAGCTAATGGCCCAGCCCCATATTCCCCGGATCGACGGCTTATTTGACATGCCACGAGTTGCCATGCCATGCCCACAGGCATCCATCTACCCCATCTCTCAGACCGGCAGGCGCGCGCTCGCGAGCCTGGCTGACCTGACCGGGACTGTCGTCGGGGAAAAGGCGTATCGAATATGCCTCTCGTTGGTAACAACGGCACGCTTGTGGAGGGCTGAAGATGTGACGTGAAGACTAACAGCATTCGTGGCTCCAAAAAAGAAAGAAAATGAAGCAAAATCATATTTCCCATGATGGACAGTTCGAGGCTGAAGGAAACGTTATACATACTTTGACATCATAGCCTGCGTGGCCCGTCGTAGCAGGTCGAAGCCACTAGAGCTGCCATGCCCATGCCCATGCCCGTGCCCATGCCCATGTCCATGCCCAGCGTGACCGCCTCCATGGGCATGCGATTGTGCGTGACCGTGGGCGCTCTCGGTGCCCGACATGATTTTTGGAAGGGCAGCTGCGAGGACGCGACCGAGAAGCTAGGTAAGTAGGTAGTTGGTCGAGGTTGGCAAACGAGTAGACGGAGCACGAGAAGAAAAAAGGACCAAGGGATCTGTGAAACGTCGCGTGCGCCACAGAATCAAGGTCAGCGGCGAGATTCACGATGCGCTGTCAATGCAAGGCTCGAGGAGTCCCGGGAGGGTCTAGGTGGCTTTCGGGGTTGGATTGCGAAGAGAGAGCGTTGTTGGTTCGGCGGAGTAGGATGCTTTGGAAAGATGACATCTGGAGAGGGGCGAGATTTCTCTTGGACGCCCGGGAAGTGCTGGTTTTTGGGGGGCCGCGGCGGCGGCGTACGTGAGGGAGGGGCCAAAGAGCAACCAGGCTGCAAGCACCAGCACCAAGCACCACAGCACCACAGCACCACAGCAGCGCGGCTGTCCGACATCGCGGAGTACCCAGAAAGGGTCTTCCGTCGGTATTAGGCGCGGTGACCACTCCGCATCATCCATCCACTGCGAGGCACTGCGACTTCTGCGACTGTAAGCGAGCACGTGAATACTGCGCAGCGCGCGTTGCCTGGTCCCCCCAACTCCTCGTTCCGGACTCTTCCGGGAGGTTCCTTTTCTCTCTCAAAGGGTCTGCCGCCTGTCAAACCAATGCTGCCAACGAACCTTGATCTGTGCCAATAGACTCCCTCCAGAGCCCGCTACCCGCCCTTTATTTGTTCCGCAGAGGAATTCCCTCGTTCCACCAGCCGACCGTGCTTGAACGTCATGGCGTCTCGTCTGTGTGCGTTCGTGCAGAGATGGCGCAGCGCAGCCACTGCTGGCACCGTCGTTGGCAACGAGCATGTCGTTCTACAGGCGGGCAAGGCTGCAAGCTCCGTTCAGCATTCGCTTTATGAACTCTCCGCACTCGACGAGAGCCGCTTCGTCACTTCGTCGCTTCGTCACTTCGTCGCTTCGTCGCTTCGTCGCTCCGTCTCGCAATTGTGCCACGCGCTTTCTGCTGTCCTCAACTACGTCATGGCCCCATAACTCAACTGTGCTAAGAGGGCGTTGGAGGTGAGAAGCCATCGCAACTGGTTCGGGACAGCGCCAACATAAAGAGTCAAATGTTTTCCAAGTTCAAACCACGTCGACTTGATTCTGCCTGCCAAGCAATGCAATATTTTTCCAGCCCCCAGCAAATCATATCCATTGGTCATGCTTTGGTGCTATTTACGTGAACCATGTCTTACATCATCGCCTGGTACCCCGCCCACTATTTCATCTTTGTTTCCACTCCAAGAGATTGAGCATGGTATTCGATATCTATACATATCTGCATACATGGCATGTTTTTATTTACGTGTACATGTATGGAAAGAGATCGTTGCCTTACTTTGTATTTCTTCTCCGCCAAACTCGTCGACATGATGGCAAATTTGCTTCGTGACTCAACTAATCGGCCAACCCCGCCTTTCGCCGTCGCAATTCACAATTCACCCACTTGACAGACCCATTTAGCCCGGTTACTCCATCCACCAATATGCAGGTGGTAGGCACTGATAGCAGTGCAAGCATCGAAACTGTTACGCCACTCCATCACAACTCAAATTCTGCTTGAGATGCGAGGAAATGCTTCCCCAACCGTCGGCAGCATGTGGCGGGCCTTTTTTTTTTTTCTTTTTTACCATGCGTTCTTGGAGACTCCTGCGAAGGGCAACAATCGACACTGCTTACTGCGTGGCGTGAGGGTGGCTGGCTCAATTGGCATCCTTTCTTCCCGCTTCTAACTAGAACTCTCCAATATCAAGGGAGCCCGACTTACTTGTCGCCTTGCGCGAGATTCGCGTGCCAAGAACCAGGCTTATCTTGTCGCTGCTTCCTGACACTGATGGGGTGTATATGACGAAGGTACAGTGGGTCGTACAAATGAGTCGCAAAGCGCTAGCTACCGCAAACGTGATTATAGGCTTGAATTGCGATGCAGTACTCACGTGATTCAAGGCCGTGTGGCTCAATGGCAGAGCGTCTGACTACGATGTGTGTCATCTTAGATGGCATCTGAGCGCAATCAGAAGGTCGCAGGTTCGACCCCTGTCTCGGTCATAAATCCAAATTTTTGTCACATATGCAACCCTCTTCGCTCGCGATTATATAGAAGATATTTAGCTATATTACATTTTTTTTGTCAGTCTTTTTCTTGCTTTTATGAAAGTTTACTTGTGGCCCATAATGAATATACCTTAGAATTCTTCTAAATAAAAAAGTTGGAACACTAAGTAGGTCTACAGGTACTCTAAAAATACCTCAGCGCTGAATCGGCCACAGGACGTGGTTAACAAAAAGATAACCATCTGACCGAGACAGGGGTCGAACCTGCGACCTTCTGATTGCGCTTTTCCAATACCACCCTGAGGTGGTTCGGATCGTAGTCAGACGCTCTGCCATTGAGCCACACGGCCTGTGCGTGATGAAAGGCTCTCAAATAGAATACTATATTCACTTCAATTTTCATCACAAACGGATGTGTATTGTTCCATTGCTCATTGCAACTGCAAGAACACACACTATTTTATATAACCATTACGTGCATGCAAGCATCGTTTGTGGTGTCGAATCCACTAAACTACGGGTCTCACTTTGCAATTTCCATCCGAACCGATGCAAGTGGATTTGTGAACCCGCCCTTAGATTGCCATTCCAACAACAGCGCCGGTCTAGGTTAAAGGCAGACGGAGAAGAAGAGACGGTGGACTCGACAGCGTTTCGTTAAATCGCTAGGCAGTGAGTGCATCACAAGAAAAGAGACATGGCGCTTGGCAAGATTTGCACGCGGATCATACACGCTGCGTGCCACGACCATCCCGCCAAATACAGTGTTGTGGTCCAGAGGGCAGTTCGATACGCCATGTCTGGCGGCCGTCGTGATGCAGCGTCAACTCTCTGAATCCCCAGAATTGACTGTTTTGATCATCTCCAGTGACGTCGTGGCTCGGTGCGTCGACTATCAATGTTCCCCTGCGGACTAACGCAGCACGTCGAACCACATCCGTTCATTGCACTTCTCATTCACGTCGGCAGCGACACCCCGATGTTGACCCGAACTTCCCGCGCCGCTTAAGCCCTGGTAAAATGGAGCGGAGCGGCCTCGCGGCCAGTTGCAGGCCTGACTTGATTCCAATTCCGAATGTCTCGCTCTGCAAGCATCTTTACTAGCTGGCATTATCTTCTCAGTACCCTCTCCCACCCTCTCCCATTGCATGAATTTTTTTATATGCCATCGAACTCCACGCTTTTGTTGACAGGATCTACCGAGTTCTACTCCGATTCGTCTCATACGCCCTGAAACGGGATAGCTGACCAATATTCTCCTCAATTCCTTCTTGGCCCATTTTATCGATGCGCTCGGTCAATTGACATATTGATACATTCCGAGATGAATAAATCAGCAGTTCCCGATGCCTGGGACGACGACTGGGAGTCGCAGGCTGATCGTGCCGTGAAAGAGGACGACGCGACCGAACACGGCGGCGAAGCATCATCGCAGCCCGCACCATCGTTGACAAAGGCAGAGCGCATCATGAAGCACACCGAGGCAAACAAGAAGATTTGGGAGTCTGCGTAAGAAAATAGCCTTTTATCCTTCACTACCGCCCTCCCAACCCTGATTCTCCCGTCTTTCCATGTCTCGAGTTTGTCTGTCCATGCCTTCCTTTGCTAACATAGGAGCAAAACTGCGGCAAATGCGTTTAGGGACGCAGCGCCTCAGACCTTCCATTATCTGGAAGCCAGCAATTCGGTGCCGCTGACATCCCCTTTCAAACCTCAAGTCAAGGTTCTTTCGCGAAAGCCAGTCATCGCCAAACGCGGTTCCGCGTCTGGCGGCACGGCCCAGCTTTCTGCTGAATATGACGATGATGCCGAAAACAAGAAGGAACGACAGCTCACAGCAGAGGAGATTCGAGCAAAGCAGAAACGTGACCTGGAACAAAGACAACGTCGATACGATGAGGCTCGGGCCAAGATCTTTGGAGAATCAAATCCTTCGTCTCGAGGTTCGTCCCCAGGAACTGTCACGCCGCCCAAGTCGGACGGTCGGCAGTCAGGTAGAGGTCGCGGCAGGGGAGGCGGACGGGGGAGCAACACGAACAACCATGATGCAAGAGGTCCGCCAGACATCAGGCGGGCACATAACCAGCCTTCGACTGGCAGAGAGCTTTATGACCCCAACTTCTTGCCAAAACCCGACCTAGCAGCGCAGCAGCGCAGAGCCGGAGAAGGCGATGGGTCCATGCGATGGACTCCAACCGGCAATGACCAATATCAACACCAGTCGCAATACCAACCACCCTCGCTGTCACCTCAGCAGCATTATTATCCACAGCAGCAAGCCATACGATCACCAAGAGGACCCGACGGCAGCGGGCGCGGCGGCTTCGGGTTCGCACGTCGTGGCAACAAGGACAGCTGATGCATCTGTCGCTTCGTCAAGCTTCTCAATCAGGAAATGGTATACGCACACGTCTACGCCACGCTTCTCTACCTGACCATAGAGAATTGAGAATGTCATGCTCTTATTTCAACCTGCTCGCAGAGAAGATGCGCCGAGCTGTGCTACCAGCCGCCTCCTGCTTTCCCAGCCAGCTGAATCACCTTTTCGGCTCCGGTTCCTTTTCCGACGTCGCTGATGACCTCGCGATACGTCGTGAATACAAGTCTGTCAATGCTTATGTCCGTGACCTTACGCCAATAAGCCAAGATGTCGTATATATACGAGCGGGAGATGCCACCAATTACGTCATCGCCTTGGGTTTCATGGCCGTCGATACTGCCACTTTGGCCTATACCGTCAGAATCTCCGCATGAGAAATACGCCTCATCAACCTCGGCCAGCCACTCCTTTTGTTCCTGGGGACCAGGTTTGCCCTGTATCTTCTTCCGGTCCAAGACCACCGGATCGTCGACCTTGACCTGGCCGCCACCGTTGGTGCAACCACCCGGGCAAGCCATTACTTCGACATAGCCGTACTCTAACGCGGCCGCCTTGCCTGCCGGTCGCCGAGCGCTACCGAACGGTTTCCCGCCCGGCATTCGGGACGGTCGAGCAGGCTTCAGCCTACGCACCAAGTTTTGGATGTTTCTGAAACCATAGTACCGGGCCGCCTTGAACACGGGCGAACCGTTTGCCGCCACGACGAACTCGACGACATCTGAGTTGCGACCGCGGGTGGTCTGGATCTCGGCACCGGGTATTTGCGCAGCTTGGCGCTGCAGGATATGATAGAGTAGTCCTCCCGAGGAACCCGCAGTACGCGGGACCATTTTGGGCGCCCTCGGTGGAAAGAAAAAGTTGTGTAGAGTCTTGCTGGGAAACGGCTGCATCGGCGGCAGTGACGAGGCCGCCGTGGCATCGCCAGGAACATCGAAAAAATTGAGCCCTCTTGACTCGGTGAGCATCAGGACCTCCTTGCTTGTGATTACGCAGTCCACGTCGCGAACCCCTCGGCCGGACGATCCTGAGCCAGCCCAGACTTGATCCGTCAGTTCCTCGCGACTGGCCTCGAGTTTCTTGTCGAAGCACGGCATGACAGCGAGATGCCATATTCTGTGAGGAGGGATGCCCAGTTTCCGACTCAAGGTTGTTTTCAGCATCGTCCCCATTAAAGCCTGTGGCGATTTGACCTTGGACAAATGTGGCAACACGTGAGGATGCGTCTTCTCGGCATAGCAGACCCATCCGGGGCACGCCGACGACAAGACTGGCTGCAACGCAGGGCCACCCGCCGTGCCAGCCCCCGTTTCGAGCACCTCATCCGCACCCAGCACCAGGGCGACCTCCCTCGCAACGTTGGTGTCGAGAACCCACGTAAACCCGTTGTTGTACTTGCCGCCAGCAGCCAGTCCCTTGTCCCCCCGCAACAGGCTCTCAATCATCAGCCCGGCCTGCCGCTCCGATACGCGACCACCACAGGCAGCCGCCAGGTTGGCTCTCGTCTGCGGAGATACGCTCGCCACAAACAACCTCGCATGCTCATCTTCCAGCCCTTCCACCATCCATCTCCGGGTACCATCCTCGACCGCCCGCACCCTCAGCGCAGGCGCACCGTCCAGGGTCGCCAACACCTCGGCATGGCTTTGCAAACTGACGAGGACGGCCTCCGCAGAGGTCACGCACCCAGAGCACGCCAGACAGTCGGTCAGCGAAATCTGCGCGGCCTCTGCGCTCGTCGTGGCTGCTGCGGGCTGGGTCCCGTCGATGATGACCTCCGTCTCGTTCTTGTCGTGCGCATTCGTCTTCGCCGCGGGGAGCGTCTCGACGGGCTTGATGCATGCTACGCTGGGGGAAATAAAGTCGTTTAGATCGTCAACGGAGAGAATGGCACTCATGGCGATTTGCCGTGGGAGGCTATCTCGTTGACGGGCGCAAGGTGGCGACTATAAGCCGTAGTGTTGATTACTCGTGTCGATCTCCTCTCGTTCCCACCCTGGGGCCAAAAAAAAAAAAAGGAGGTGATGCGAGAAGAAGAGGGATGTAAAAAGAAAGAGATTGGTGGTCAACAGCGTAGGTCATGTAGAGGATGTTGATCGAATTCTGGTAATGTGGTCAGGAAAAGTTGGCGCATCGGAAGGCCGAGGATTAGAAATAGAAGGCCGCTCGGGTAGTTTGGGGTGGAGCAGGCGACGGGGAGGGTCCACTTTACTTGGTGGGTGGATTGGGTGGTGGCGAAGAGACGTGATGCGGGTCGGAATAGGCAGAAGAGACGATCTGCATGGAAACAATCTGCCTGTTGGGAAAACAAACGGGAACGGCGGATAATCCCTAGAAAGAGTTGTACGGATCCTTGATTTCTGATGCAAAATTCGAGGGTGTAATGCTACAGTGGGTCGTAAGTAATTCCGAAACTGTTTACACTAAAACTCTACGGCAAAATGTTTGGGATTACCTCGACTTACTGTATCAAGTATTGCCTTCGTATGCAAATCTTAAAAAAAATACTATAAAGCATGTCTAGCATATTAAGAATCTACATGCACGACGCACCAACAACTTTCCAATGTTGTGTCCATTAATGAACTAGTACAAACCAACGCCCCAAACTCCTGTTCTAGTTTCATGTAGAGGCACGCCGTCGTACATCACACTTGCTCCTGTCCTCCAGAAGATCCCACGGTCCAGCTATACAGAGCCAGGGCCATCCCTTTTCTGCTATCCCTTTTTCTTTCAAACCAACGGCAGTCTACAACAGGGGGCATGGCGCTCGCCTTGCTCTCCGCCCCTATGCTTCAGCAGCCTGCGCCTTCTTCACCATGGTATCCACGCGCTTGGTTTGTCCGCCGTCCCTGGCGTCGACTGCCCCGGGAATCTGGATATCGACGGTGCCCTCGATAATAGCCTTGCGACGGTCGTGCCAGTCCACCTCACTGTCAATGACTTGTGATAGCAGGACTTCCTTCTCCAGCC